TGTAGTGACATGGGGCAAACAACCAAAGGATCAAATCAACTTGAACGTTTTTCTACTTGGCTCTCCAATTCTTGAGCTTTCAACAAACTCTTCAAAATATTTTAAACAACTAACAAATAAGAAAGGATTGGGTGGTCGAGAGAGCAAACTTTAGATCCATCCCAGAAAAATGGGATGTCAGGTAATAAGTTTTATAGAGGTCTCCCTCAGGGGGGAAAGCAGATGTGCCTCAGGAGGAAACTCTACCCGATGCGAAAGTCAAGATGCATCTGAAAATGTCTGCCTTGTCATAAAATTGACTTCTCAGACAATATTGCATGGATTTAATATATGTTGTGGGTATTCCCTCTAAATCTAAGGTGTGAGAGACAAGGACCCTTTGTCCTCACAGAGTTTACATTATTCGCATCAGGCTGAATGGTTTCAGGGGTAAACAGATTGCACAGAAATTTAGAATCTGTTCATCTACTGGGTGATCTATAAGACGTCAACATCAAAGTAGCTTCTTGCACAAAATTCCTGTTTCACATTCCTAAATGAGAATCAGAAAAGTCGTCATTGATGAATCTAAATGTCAGCTGTGCTTCCATTTTCCTGTCATTGATTTTATCCCACTTATTATGCCGCTCTGCTGCCTTTTGGTTTGATGTGACTATTTTATTCAGCCCTTTTCCCTTCCTCTGTTCAGCACATACCAAACTGGTGAGAGCCACAGAGAAGTAAAATTTAATTCTCTCTGAGAAGAAGAGATGAGAGAAAGGTTTGCTTTTATCATTAAAAGGTATCGGCTTTGTGTGTTTTTTTTCAGAGATGTTCTTTCTAGAACAGAAAATAGTCAATGAATATTTAGATATCAATACTCTGAACTAAGATATGTTAACAGTAAACATCAAGGAGGATTCCTGTGCCCTTTGCTAAATTATTGATGTTTTTATACCATTCCTGTTTTAAATAACATGTCCTCGCAGGCGTTTACTTTGACATAGGCTCCAACTGAGTAATGTTCCCGTTGTCCTTTTATCAGATTGTCAGGCTCCCTTGACCACCTAGTAGTTGTGAATCCAAAAGCGCAGAAATTTGTTAGCCCAGTGGGAAATAATCATAGAATCTGTTCATTTTAAGTGCAGGGAGGAAAAAGACCCTTTTCCAGAAACCAAAATATATTTTACTTAATTTTGTAAAAGAAGCATTCAAAAAAAAATTCAATTTCAGCTTGTAAATACTAACTTTAAAGGCACTTACCTGTTTTCCATGAAGAGAATATCTTTAATGTATGAAAGAGAAACCAACCAAAAAATCCTTAGATTTTGAAAAACTATGAATTGCATTGCCTTAGACCCTTTGAGCCTCACTGCCCTCTGTCCTAATGAAATGAATTGAAAGTGTTCCTCCCTTTGTGCCAGACTGTGTGTCTACACAGCCGGGAAGAGAGGAGATATGTATCCCCCTACTTATAATGTGAGGTGCTACCCACA